ATGGAAGGCGATAACTTTGTTTAAAATGATTGTCAGAAATACCAAAATGTTTCGAAAAGTTGGATACTTTTTAATATACTTTCAGAATGCTTAAAGAAAAAGAGAAGAAAAATAAATTTTTTCGTAAAATTTAGTATTTTGTATTTTTTTTTAAATTTAAAAACTTTTCAATGTTATGATATTTGATTCTTGCGATTACAAAAAATAAAATATTTGACTAAAATATGAATAACATTTTAAGAAACCAAATGTAGGATAAAATTGTGTAAAGCAATGGGCACAATGATAAAACTGTTTTAAAGCAGTGTATGCAAGTCATCCTAAGTTAAAATGTCGGTTATACACATCTTTCTTATTTATATATATCTTTTCTGAACGGAACATTGAAAGGCGTTTTAAAAACTGTGCTTTACTGTATTTTCTCTTTTAATACAGTATGCAGTTTTCAAACTCATCGTAGTCTGGGTTACAAAAGTATTCTTCTTTTCTTCCGAAAGAAATGGAGTTCAAATAAATAAAAATCAAATTCTGGATAATTGATATTAATAAATATATTTAAAAAATGCTCAGTTCGAAGGAATAAATAGAAAATTTTAAAACAATTATCTGAAGAGACAATGCAATACAAACAATTGAAATTAAAAATAAACAGTATTTAAAAATTTACCTAAAATAATACCTATGATGAAAATATATATAAAAGAAAAGTATTTGAAAAAAAAAAAAATGAACGCTGCACCCTTTATTTACGCAGTTCGAATAGGTAAATAGAAATTTTTAAAACAGTTATTCGAAAAATAAAAAAAAAAAAGGCGTGCAACTTAAACAATTAAAATGAAATTCGAAAAAGAAAAAAAAATTACTTAAAATAAAAAGTTATAATTAAAAATATAATATAAAGAATATTATTTGGAAAAAAAGGAACGATGGTGACTTTTTTTCCTCTCACGGGAAAGGAAACTAGGTTGCCATATATTAAGAAGTTTCGCCAAGTAAAGTATCTTTTGGCCGCAAACTGACAAAAAAAAGTGCCAACATAAATTTGTGAATTTTTCTGTAAATTTCGCTCCCAAATTTTTACAAAAATTTCATATTTAGGCATAATTTGAGTCGTAGAATCGAAATATGTAAAAATATTGGTATGTTTATTTCAGAAAAAGTCTGATTTTGTGTCAAAATCCCTATGTTAGAATAGTGCTATATATAAATCTAATATATATCCTAAGTCGCGCTTTCGAGACATGAAGAACACAATTTGAATTTTGTCAATCAGCCCAGTAGATTGGGAGATATAGGACTGTCCCTTTTTTTTTTTTTTTTTTTTTTTTTTTTTGAGCAGTGTACATACATGTTTCAAATTTTTCTTCATTTCATTATTATGCAGCTTGCTGCCGTTTCTTCAATTTTTCAGTCAGCACTTTTCTGCTAACGGGGCACCAGTCCCCAAATATGCACCAAAGCATCAAATATAGTAATCATTATATTAGTCATATATTGCATGATGCAGGGCTGTGCAATATTTGCTGTTCACAATGTCAAGGCTATGCAGGCTCCAATGCCAAAGGTGTGCAGGATGATGAATTAGTGCAATTTTCTGATATTTTTTTAAACTGCATATATGTCTTGTACATAACATGCACTGTATTTTTCCCCCACGTAAGGTGTTTAGTTTTTGCTTTAAAAAAAAAAAAAATCAAGGTAATTGCACAAATTTAGCACTGCACTCAGTTTTGGCATTATACAAAAAAAAAAAAAAAAAACACTATATATACTGTATGATATATTACCGTTACCCCCATATTTTTCCCCCATGAAGCTTTATGTATCATCAGGGTTGCCACCATCTAATTAGATTTCATGCCAATTTTTATGCATTATCAGAAATGTTTCTTTTTTCCCTTTTAGAGCTCTTTTTAAGGTAGCAATAAACAAACACATTTATCTATACTTACTGGTATAGAAGTGGCACTTGTTTCAGCTGCTAAATTCAAGAGGAGTACACTAATCTGCACATTTGAATTTTCTTTTTGCAAGATATGTGCAAACCCCAATCTTCAAACCTATAGTTACTGCTGCATTGTCTGTACAAAGAGCTGAACATTTATATAGAGGAACTTTATTTTCTGGTAAAGTTTTAACAATATGCTGCACTATGTTAAAAACCTGTCAAATCTGCTAGCAAAATGAGGGTATAAAGTAAACTACACTCAATTTCTGAAGCACTGGGAATAAAAAAGGTAATGGTAACAATATTATGCAATTTTGCACCAGTATTATTGCATCAGTATAGAAAGGCAGAAAGAAGCAGATTTAATGCAATCAATAATTGAAGATTTATTTTTCACATCCATGTCTTTAACAAATTCAGGCATTTTTATAATTGCACATGAATATTTCTTATCAATTTCGATACCTGGAAACATTTTTCTAAATGGTAGCACGGTGTTTATGAGAGCCATTTTGAGCAGCAGATAATGCTCATGTGGAGAAAATAGGCTGTCTGCATTAGTAACCTTTTGGTCCTTCATTTATTTTTGCATAATAAAAGAAAGAAAAATTTAATTTTGAAGAAAAGAAAGATTTTTAATTGAAGAAATTTAATTGAAAGGAAAAGAAAAATTTAATTTTTCATTTTCTTCAATATAACTTTTATTATGCATGTATTTTTTTAATATGCACATGTTTTAGTACTTGGTCCTTTTACTATGCACAACTGAAAAATCGCACTGAAAAATTGTACAAACTGTAAACATATGAAATTTTTTATTAAAGAAATACCACACAGAAAATCATGAGTCTTTTGCTTTTTTTCTTGTAGAAGGAACGCATACCACATGCATAGCAGTAACAGTTGATCAAACAGTAAATTCTTTTTTCAAAAAAAATCGGCAAACAAAAGAAAAAGTAGCTAAATTACTTTCAAATATCAGAAATCATGTTTGTGTATGAAAATCAATGAAATATTAAGATGAACTAATAAAATTTATGAGAAATTTCAGGAATGAGTTAGGATAAATGTGTTATAAATTTGGTTGTCAAGACCGTGTCTGAAAATCAGAATTTCCTACCTAAATTAGAAAAGCTGGCACATCTGAAAGGCATGTAATTTTATACATTTAATTCATTAAAATACAACAAACATCCTATGTTATTGTCTAATTATCTGTCCAGAAAAGAGTTGGCAACTAATCTTTTACAAAACTAAAAGACAATACCCATTTTCAAAAACAGCTGTGCACTAAGAATTAGATAAAACAGCAGCCAATTCACAAAATAAAAAATGAAAAATGCATATTTTAACAATCACCCAAAAGAATTTGTTAAGTTTTCTTATGCTTTTGCTGAGCTTGCAGTCTACCAGTCTACTGCTGCACTCACTCCGGCTAGGTTTATTATTAAGTGCAAAGAAATTGATGTTCACACCATATAAGATTCACGAAGCAAAATTACAAAATTTTTAAAAGCAACATAGCAGAATACATTCAGAATTCCCAACACAGTGTTAAGTACTGGCATATAGTTTTCTTTTCTTTTCTTTTTTTTTTTTTTTTTTTTCGTTTCTCAATTTATCATAATAATATTCAGTTTTCTTTAATGGCACTTTTTAACTTTTTTTGGTGTCTTTATTATTAACATTTTGCATGCTAACTTTATTTATTAGATATCACATTCTTTGTACTTGCGTGATAAAAACCTTCAATTAAACAGCGAAATCACAGAGCACAAAGCATTAAAAAACAGCATATCTTTTGAATTTCTGATTGACAGTCTCATGCATTGATGATAAAAATATTTTATTTTGTACAGTGTTGCTACTGTTCACTTTCAAATCACTGACTTTGTTAATCATAAATTCACTAAAAGTTTACAAAATATGAAATATAAAATTCAAAATTTGAAATTTGGGCTTCTAGGTGAACATGTTCAGGTGCAGAACAGCATTATTTACAATTTAATAGCTCTAGGTAATGTTGTTTTTCACGACACAAGGAACATATATATATATATCCATACATGCAGATTCTTTATCATTTAATTTCTTTAAAGATAATATAGGACAACAGTATTTGATGACAAAAATTTGAAAAATGATCAGCCGTTTACAATGAATGATGCAAAATCCCATTTCGAGACTAATAGCACATTTGCTCTAACACCCTTTTGGGCAAAAATTCCATAATAAAACACAACTTTTCTTTTAGCATTACCTTGCCCACATACACAGCAACCTGTTTTAGCTTTAAAAAGCATCAGAGAATTGCAGAAGCTTAGCATCACAATCAACTTATCATTGCCATGTACTATCATTCTCTCTGTATATAGACAGATGTGTTTTTTGCTTGAAAAGTATCTCAGAATTTTTACATTGTGCTTGCTTTTGTTCTTTCCATATAAACAGTGATATGTTTCTGCTTAAAAAATCATAATTGCAAATTTTGATCTCAATCATTTACCAAATACAACTTTACGGAATGCAAATTCTTGCATTCTTTAATGCTATATTTCTGAAGAAATGCAATGCTTTCTTTTTCATCAGCCAGGAAACTTTATAATCCCATTAAGAATTCTTAGAAGAAAAAATGCACTTGATGCAACAAAAACCACCAGTAAAGGCCACTGAATTTGAAGGATGGAAAAGCCACTCATCTGGTGTGTATAGCACACCTACCAGAGTTGCCACATAAATACATATAGCCGATGTTATGGGTTACCTATTTTGGCAAAATAGAACATTGCCTGGTAAATTCTTTTCATGGATCTGGCAGATAACCAGAAAAAACACTTTCTACTGGCTGAACATTTTGCTCTATAGAAATTACATAAAAAGATTTTGCATTAAAATTCTTTACCTTAATTTGAAAAAAGAAGGACTTTATAATATTATAAAAAGAGAGTATTTTGAATAATATGTGTACTTTGTATCAAGATTTTAAAAAATAAAGCCTGCAGATTAATATTTAAATATTTTGCATAATAAAAAAGAAAAACCAGCGACAAACCTGTAAAAGCAATAAACTTGAGGGACTCCGAGAATATTCAGAATCTTGATTTCTCATCAGGGCCATCGCCAACAAATTCATGGCCCAATCCATATCCACATTTGCCACAAGATACCTAAAAAATTTCAGTTAAATTTTAGAACACATATTTAAAGGATATTTTTTATGAATCTGAAAAAATTTCAAATCACATGACAACACTGACAACAAATTAAAGCAGTTTATTAATATATGTGTCAAATTATAAAATATTCTTTTTAATTAATATTCCAAGATTAACTCTTGTTTTGCAGAAATATGTACAATGCATAACTAATGGTCTACTACAGTTCAGTAATTAAGACCACTAAAACAAATTTTTATAAAAAATTAAATACATTTTGGTAGATTGCTTAAAACTCCCGATGGCGTTTAAAATAGATAAATAATCTAACTTACTACAATTTAAATATTAAATTAAAAGCAAAAATCTAATTACTAAAATGGAATGATACATTAGGTTACTTATCATGGCAAAACATTCAGTAGCTGTATGCCTTAAAAGGAAGACCTTCATAGATAACTTTAAAATGAAAACTAACCTATACTCATATTACATACAGGAAAATCTGGGCAGACAAGCTTATTCATTAATGAAGAACTAAACTGAAGCTGAAATAGCAATCAGAACTGTGATTGGGGGGGGGACAGTTCCAGTATATTTGACGTTGGTGATCAGTATTGCTGCTCACTATATTTTTTAAATGATCCGCCGTTAATATATATATAATCCACCATAAAAATACGAAACATATATAATCCGCCGTATTATACAATCCACTATAAAAATGATCTGCTTTTAATAATTTAATGTAGAATACAATTTCATTTAATTATGGCTTGCAAAAATTATTTAGCTGTCAACATTAGAAAACTGGTGCCATAGGCAGCTAACAGCCTATGTCACCTTGGTTTGGAGCTGACCTTAATAGTCAGCCACCAGTAAAGTACTTTGTATTGAAAATTTCTTTTTGTGCTATTTAATATACATTAAAAATATGTATGTAACATACATTAAAAATATGCTATGTAATATGATTAAAATAGGCTAAGAAAAGCATGATCTTCCCTCAGGAAGAAACGTTTTCCTTCCCTTTTTGGAAAATTAGCAAATTAAATGCCTTAAATCTCTGTGATCAACAAAAGGAAAAAGAAAAGTGTTTCTAATGATAAAGTAGTTCTGTAACTTATATTAAATTTGTCACAAACATTTATAGAATTTTTCTGATATTTGCTGCTGATTTGAAAATGAAAATTTTAAAATATAATGTGGCTATTTTTCACAGCCACACCAAAAGTTTTGCTAAATTTTTTAGCTCTTCTTTCAAAGGTCTGTCTGAATATCAAACTAATTCTTTAACTGTCCAATTAATTAATTCAAAGACAGTGTGAACAGTCTTCAGCTGCTAGTTAAATTTCTTTTGTTCCTATGCCATTGTTTAAAACAATTTTTTCAAATACAATACAGGGTGATAATATTTGGTGGTAACAGTTTGAAAAGTGAAATGGACATTCAGAGTGATTCAATGCAAAATCTCAAAACGAAAACAATAGTCCCTCAGGGACAAAACCCCTTTGGACTAATAAAATAGCCATCTTAAACAAACTGAACTAGTAAATTATTTAAATAAGATATAATGCAATAAATATAATGTTTTCAAGGTATAAGAATATTTTAAGCAGGGTTTAAATTAAGCAGGAGCCCAGCTTCATACTCCTCAATATTTTTAACTAGATTGTAATTTCCAGAAATATTGCATCAAAGCTCCATCTAAAACAAGCTTTGGTATTTTGTTGTACAACTGAAATACAATATTAGCACAAAATTCTGTTAGTAATGGAATACAGTAGAATTTCTTAAAAAGCAGCAATGAGACCACACTAATTCTGGATAAAAAAAATGTTTTGGATAACTGAATGTATATTTCTAGAACTTAATTTTCATGTTTTGTGATTCCACCTGTACAAACTGCAACATGCAAAGTCTGTCAGTTGTGTTTTTGACTTATTGGCCGCAATTATAAAAATAATATCGAAAATCATATAGCTTATTTAAAATTAATACATGTACATGATTTTATATTTCAGGAAAACAAAATTAAACAATGATTTAAAATTACCATATTTTTATCACATGAAATTTATAAAGTTCAGAGTTTGATGACATTTAACCCATATATCTGCTTGATTACAAGACTATTGCTGTAGTTTTAAAATTAATTGTGCATACAATAAAGCTTCATAACATCACACACAGACATAGATGAACATTTCCCAGAAAACCTTACAAAGGTCTGTAATCTTCATCCTTCAGCTTCTATTCCTGCAGTTTTCTAGCTTTACATTTCATCTTTACCTTCATTTCCCCTTTTCTCCTCCTCATCTTTCTCTCTTTTCTGTGCATGTCAGATTACTTCATTGTCACAAGAGAGCAAGGAACAGAAATTCTTTATCTCCATCCAAGCCTGTACCTCCTCACCACTAATATTAATTTTCTTTGAACATGTAAGTAAATACAATATGTTGGATGCAGGCAGCAGAAGTGTTTTAAAACCATGAAAATCTTTGTCACCTACGAACATGATCACCAACAGCAAAATAATATTCTTTACATTTCTCCATGCAAAAAACGAAGAACATATGCACTCTTTTAATGTGAGAGGTAATGCCCGTGACTTTTAGAAAAAGTCATGGACACTACTCTCAAAGTTCACACATAAATACATAGAAAGGAATCTGCAGTTCATCGCAGTTCATCTTATGCTCTGGAAAATGTATTGATTGAATAAGGCTTGTTATGAAGGGCAATAGAAACATAACAAAAATGGGTATTAATGTAGCAGGCAATCTACTTCTTATTTATTAGTCATTTAGTTAGTGCTTAAATGGTCTACTGTTAAACATATTGAAACAATAATAACAAACAAATCAACTAAAACTATATTGAAATAATAATAATAAACCAATTAATTAAAACTATATTGAAATATAATAATAAACCAATTAATTAAAACTATATTGAAATAATAATAATAAAAAACAAAATGAATTAAAAATAAATCAAATAAATTTATATATTTTAAAATTTTAACAAGTTCCATTAAACTTAACAAAAACAAAAACAGAACTCACTTTTAAAAGGGTCATTTACCTATATACTACAATACGAATATTATGCTCAAAAACTGGTCTTCACTTTTATTAATGGATCTACAGCATGCGTGGCGAGATGACGTGGAAGCATTTCTGCAGTAGTGCATTACATGTTATGTAGAATTTTCAGTTTCAAAATCTCCCAGCACAATTCAATCAATCGTTTGGGTGTTGGGGCCATGTGCGGGATTCACAAAGTTCTTTTGGTAGTTTACAGTTTGATGATCGTATCCCAATCAGCCTAGCTTCTTTTAAGATGGCCATTTATCACTCATGATAGTTAAATCACATCTTACTTCCTGCTGTATTATTGATAGTAATGTCACAGAATCTCTCCGTTCAACAATGAAAAAACGTCTTTCCAGTTTATCTGTTTGACACATCTGACCAAAGACGCAGGGCTTTTCAATTTGTTTCTTTGAATTACGATGTCTTCTGCACCAGAATCACCTGAAGACAACTGTTCCCCTCTTTCATTTCCAAGAAGCATGCAACCCCGGTTATGTTTTCATTTTCCTTGTAGATGTGATTTGTTAATTTCCACCACTTGCTTGGGACAGCCAAAGAGTTGCCTCTTTTCAGACATCTCTACACAAACATCATGGCATAAATTGTACCAGTCGCACACAGCGTGATATGTTTTACCAGTAACTTCTGAGTAGTCACTTGAGAAGTATCATAGGTCCAATAATAAACAAGTTTCCAAAATCTCTGATAATGAAAGTTTGCTATTACAATGACTTCTAACATCCTCAAAAGTAAAAAAAAGCGGTTTGCTTTCTTATTGATTGATACGTTTGGCATCCTTTGCGGGAACATCTAAGGCTTTTGTATTCTTCACCTTTTTTATTTTTCCTTGTTACTTCTCGGGTTCAGCACCACACTTTAGACAGGTAGGATGGCTATTTTGTGATGGGAGCAACCCATGTTTGCAAAGAAATTAAATAGTTGATTCATCAGTGGTTAAGACTTGATAAAATTCAATAGCTTTCATATCCAAACATGCAATAAAGAATGATTAATTTTAAGAGCACACATAAAACCACAAGGTGAAAAACAAGATTATCTGTTATACCAGGAGGAGTATTTGTAGTTATCAACATCTTTTCAAATTCTACGCCTCTAGCTCCATTTAAGAACTAACTATATAACTAATAAATAATAGGTAGATCGCCTGCTACATTAATATCTAAAAATGCCTTCCCTATTTAAGTATTCAGATTATTAGCTTATCACGTATATTTTTTGTATCTCATACATAGGCTTAAATTTTGATTTTAAATTTAGACTTTCAAAAGTGCTGTTATTTTGATATTACCGGTTAACTGGATACCAGCTACTATGAGGAATTTTAGTGTAGCCTCTTCAGCAATTAGTAATGCTCAAGTTGATGCTAGTTACTGAAAGTATGCCTCCGCTTTTTTTAATAAGAGCAAAAAGCTTAGGAAAATTTGAGCAGTAATGAAGAAAACTGTCACCTAAAAAGCATTCTTAGAAAAAGAAATTTTTATGGATTGTACCTATCTGGTCAAAAAGGCTTTCAATGAATTATAAACTAACACAGAGATAATTTTATGGAAAGAGCACTGTTTAAACTTTCTTATTACCTTCAATTATTTCTGTTAGCTTCAGTTTCTATCATCTTATTTCTACTGTCTGAACTATCTTTCTATTATCTTCAGTGTCATATCTTGTTACTATTAATTTACTCATCTTTAATGTTTCATTAATTCACTTAATTTTAGATGATTCACTTAATTTATTAAGGATATTTTAATCTGCATATTATCATCAATGTTAAATTATTACTTTCTCTTTATATTTTATTTAATTCTAATATTATCTAATATTATTTCTAATCTTATTTACTTTTTATGTATGTATTACTTTCTCCTTCTTGAACATTTTGCACAGAACTATGATATTTCTTTTTTTACATATTAATCCTATTTAAATCTAATATAAATTTCATCAAGTATAAAAATTAAGTTGAAGATATTAAGAATTTGAATAAATACAAAATGTTTAATAAAATTACAGTCAAAAGTCGTTAATCCGGACTCGTCGGGACTTCAGCGATTCCGGATTATAGATCATAAGTTTAAATCTTGTAGGATGGCATGCAGAAATTCTAAAATTAAAAATATGAAACCGTAGTTTATGAAAATAAAGAACAATTATGATCTAAAGGGTATCAAAATTTACAAAAAAAAAAAAAAAAAGCTTAATATTTACTTGTTTACTTTATTAAACATTTCTTTCAATGTAAGTTGTATAAGTTGCTTCGTTTTATGTGATAATGCTGTCGCTTTAATTCTATAAACAGACATAATTTCTTATTCAGTTACAAAGTTCTGCTGTTCAAGTCCCGTAATTGCTGTGCCGAGAATACCGACTAACTTGTCAAACGAAATTTTTTCGTTTTCACTAACCTCTCTGTCACCTTCTTTATGTCTTTATCCATTTTTTGCAGCAATTACACTTTTTGTTTGATGGACATCGAAACATACTTTCATTTTGTAGATCCTTTGGGAGCTCCAGCATCGGAAAATTCTATTTGACATAATCGAAAAGTTCAAGTTTACTTTTATAAATTGCTATTACAGTCTGCAAAAAATAATAAGCCGGGTCCAATTCGAAGATTAAGGAACAACGCAATCATCAACATTAACTGAAATAGATAGTTAGATAATTTTAGCTTATACCGTTCGTTATACATAAAACGCACACGCGAAAACGTATTCTGCCCTTGTGTACACGCATGTGCGCAGTCGTAAAGGTCTTATGCACACGCGTAAACGCCTATGCGCATGTGTCAATGCGGCACATGCGCAGAAAGTTTTTAGCTTTGAGGTCCGGATTATAGATCATTCCGGATTATGGGTGTCCGAATTAACGACTTTTGACTGTACTACAATAAGTAATTTAAAGAACAAATTTAGTCAAGAAGTCTTTCGTTACCACTCTGGCTTGAAAAAAGAGAGAGACAAAATAATTTTCTACTAATCAGTTAAATGTAAAATCAATTCTGAAAACAGAATCTCTTTTTTTTTTTTTAAATGTAAACTTTAAATTTGCAGAAAAAAATTCTATATACCCAGGCTTAAAAAAATCTACAACAAAAGAATTTTCATGTTGATTATATTTACATGCTCTTTAATAATGCAATAATTAAATAGCATTTACATCTGCTTAGCTTGGAACTTGAAATTCTATACAGCAGCACTTATACCAAATTGGATGAAATTTTACTAACCATAGTCCCTATATTAACAGATATCTTCTAATGTAAAAAATCTATTAAATTTCATCATATACAATAAATTACATACACTAAACTATGTAACTATGAAATTTTTTAATATTTCAGTTAAATGAAAACATACTTTATAGGTAAGAGAAGGCCTAAATGCTTCTTTTCTTTTTACAACACTGTCTTCATGAATAGTTTCTGTAAACGAAGGCCAAGGAGAAAAGTGTTGAAACTTTGTTCGGCTAGAAAAGAGCTCATTACCACACTTTGAACACACATAAATACCTTAAGGTGGAGGAAAAAAGAAAACAATATATATATATATATATATAGAGAGAGAGAGAGAGAGAGATAGATATTTACATGTATAACTATTTTTGCACAGAAACTCAATAAAAATTTATTTCAGTTATTTAAATACTATAACCTTCTTTTCCTTACATTTAAATTTCCTCAATTAAAATTCTGAAACCAATCTTATTTATTTACATGTTTTTACATAAATAATAATAAAAAAAAAAAAATTATTTATTTATTTGTTTCTTTTATAAGGTCCTAACATATGTTAAATAGTTTAAAATAATGAATGCACATAAATACAATTACGTATTTGTTATAATACAGTTCAGCACTTGCATCTATAAATTTCATAATAGAAAAATTAAATTATAACATGGAAATTCTAAAGTTTAAAAAAAATTTTATTTTGTCAATGATGAAATTTTATTAATATATAGTTTAAATTAGTTTTAAATGTCATTTTGAAAGTTTATAAAAGTCATATTTTGTCCCATCACATTGTTTTTAACTTAAAAAACATATCATATCAGCTTGGATTTGAACATCTTTTAATTCCTAATGCCTTTTTATCACCACATAAATAAATCAAATTTTCATAATACACTTTAACAATTTTTTCTGTTACTTTCCACCCTGTATCCTGCTAAACAAAAATTCTAATTTACTTTTTGTGCCTCTGAAGCTCATTCTTCATTGGTCACTAATATTCAAGAAAATTACTTAATTACTATTGTCAGAAAATTTTCCAGTTGTAATCAATTTCATTCCAAATATTTTCCAAATATATTCTCAAGATAACAAATAATGATTTTAAGCATTACAATCACAATTTATTTCTCTCGTGTATTTGTAGACAGTTCCTTAAAAATCCACATGAGATCTGAATTCTTGGAAATATCTGAATAGAATATTCATAATATAATACATATATACATATAAAAAGGCTCCCAAAAGCTTTCGTACACTTATAATTTTCATTGAAATAGGGCTCTATCCATTAATTAAAAGTAAACTTTCTGAATAAGATTTTAATAATAAGATCTATAATCTATTCATAACAAAATTACATGAAATATTTTTTAAATATAGCAAAACTTTATTTTTAAGAAATTAATAATCAAAAGATGACAAACATTTTATCTCACAAAAGTCTTCGTACACTTCAAAAAAATCTTCACATATTAGTAAATATTTTCATTTTTCGTTAAATTAACATTAGTAAGATATCCGGTACTATTCGGTTTTGAGGGCCAAACTATTGTTGATGCCAATGCTGCCAAAAATAATTGCGGCAACCCTAATGCAAAAATGGAAGTATAATAGTAAATAACTATCTAAGATTGATGTTTTAATTTAGATGAAAGGTTAATTTCATTTAATACTTTTTCATTATTATAATTTATATAAAAAAGGCTAAACATGACTGAATGGAAGCATAAGAGTAAATAACTATTTCAGATTACTATTATAATTTAAATAAAAATTGCTAAACAACTGAATGGATGCCTGCATCGCTATTTCGCTACCGAGTTCGCTAAAGCATAATTTCATCTCGTTGATTGTTCAAACATAATTTTCTATAATGAATGATGCCTTTTCTTTGAAAAAATTCTCGATAAACTGCAGAATCACCCACTTATTTGTTTGCCGCTTTTTACAAGCATAAAAACAATAGGATTTTTGTCAATTTTCTTTTACTTTTTAAGTGAAAATACGTCCATGTGTACATAGATAAGTCAAGGGTGTGCACAGTGCCATTTTTGTGAAATTCTGGAACTTTTTTTAAAGTGAAAATAGGTTGATATGTGTACATGGATACCGAGTTTGTGCAATTCTTATAAACGCGTCAAGCAGTGGGTAATTCTGCACTTTACCCAAAATTCTATTGCAGACTTTTCGTCATGGGCAATTCCCAAATTGTTAAATCCATAGGATATCAGAAAAGGATTTAAAATCAAAAAAGGATTTAAAAATTAAACTAGTGTTTAAATCGCATCTTAAGAAATATAGAACTATACAGTCAAAAGTCTTTAATCCAGACATCCATAATCCGGAATGATCTATAATCCGGACCTCAAAGCTACAAACTTTCTGCGTATGCATAATGCATACGCAAAAACGCATGCACATAATACCTTTAAGCATGCGCATAATACATTTACGCATGCGCATTTAATGTATAACGGACGGTATGAGCTAAAATTATCTAATTATCTATTTCAGTTAATATTGCAGATTGTGTTGCTCCTTAATCTTCTCATTGGATCCGGCTTATTATTTTTTGCAGACTGTTAGATCAATTTTATAAAAGTAAGCTTGAACTTTCGATTATGTCAAAAGAATTTCCGATTCTGGAGCTGCCAAAGGATCTAAAAAGCGAAAGCATGTTTCGATATCCATCAAACAAAAAGTGGAATTGCTGCAAAAAATGGATAAAGGCCATATCCTTTGTTTCTCTAACCATTCTGAAATCTGTTTATCAATTTCACGCTGCTCTGCGGGGGGGGGGGATGTCGCTGCACGCAATGAACTGGAAGTTGATCTGTCAGCACTATCCTTTATCTTCAGGGCAGACGTTATTATTTTATTCGGCTTATAATTCCTTACTAAATGTAGTATTTCATCTCAATGTACTCCGTCTTTGATATGATTTAAATCAAATTCCTTGTCATTATAAATATCACGAATACACATCAAATAGTTTTCTGGTAGCAATTTTCTAATTTCGATTATGCGTAATGTATGCTTTATGCATGCGCGCATTGAAAGAAATGTTCAATAAAGTAAAAAAATAAATATTAAGCTTTTTTTGTAAATTTTGATACCCTTTAGATCATAATTGCTCTTTATTTCATAAATTACCATTTCATATGTTTAATTTCATAATTTCTGCATGCCATCTTACCAGATTTAAACTGATGATCTATAATCCGAAAAAACCGATAATCCGAAAACGCCGAAGTCCCAATGAGTCCGGATTAAAGACTTTTGACTGTATAAACTTACACAATCTGAAATCAGCGCGAAAGCTAGATTTGGTGCGCTCTTAAATGGGCACGTTTGCTAGATTTGGAGCTTTTGCGCATACATTTTCGCTGCAATTTTTTTACGGTCCTCAAAACGGAATAGTACCTTTAGCATCCCAAACAGCTTTTAAATGTCTGGGAATAGATTTTACTATTTTTTTTTATTATTTTTTTAATTTCTGTATCAATGTTCATCCATTCTTCCATCTTGGCTGCTTTGAGTTCGCTTTTCTTTTTGATGTTGTGTTTTCTTACTTCAACCTCCAGCTCTTTCCAGATGTGTTCTATGGGGTTTAAATCTGGCAACTGAGGTGGTGTTTCCAAAACCCGTGGACAATTATAAAGACACTACATGCGAACGTTGAGAGCCGTGTTCTTAGGATTGTTATCATGATTAAAAATGTTATCATGATTAAAAGTTGTTTCCAATACCCAAATTTTGGGCTGATACCTTTAAATTGTCTCTTAAAATATTTAAATAAAGAGAATGATTCATTATGCCATTGATAAATACCAAATTACATAGTCCTGATGCTGCCATGCACCCCTCCCCCACAAGAATACTTCCACCGCCATGCTTAACTGTTCCAACTAAGTTTTTAGAATGAAGTTCCTCATTTTTTTCTTCTCCATACAGTTAATTCGACTATCGGAGCCAAAAATATTAAATTTGCTTTCATCAGCAAATAGGACATTATTCCAGTATGTTTCGGGTGTATTTATCACTGATTTTGTGAATGAAAGCCTAAGCTTTCTGTTTTTCTCACTAACAATTTTTTTTTTTTTTTTTTACGGGCAGAACGCCCATGTAATCCAGCTTCTCTGAGAACTCAGCAAACAGTTTCAAGTGAAATTGAAGTAGAAAACTTTGCATTAAATTCTGCAGAAACTTTTACAGAACTCGAACGTAGGTTTTTAACAAATTTTCTAATAATAAATCTCTCATCATGTTTAGTTAACTTTCTCGGTCGACCTTTTCTTACCATGTTTTCAATCCAATTTTCTTGTTTAAAGCGTTTTATCACATACTGCACTGTAGAATAGGATAAATTAACTAATTTAGCGATTTTTCAAATTGATTTACCACTACTATGGTGAAAAATTATCAATTTTCGAATGCCATTTGAAATTTCTTTATGACTGCGACCCATTTTTCAATAATAAATACAATATTATGAAGTAAACAATAAAAAATTAAAGCAAGCGATTTTTCAAATGAAATCACAATGCAAAAATTAAAAAAAGCTGTAATAATTCTAATTTTGATTTTATCCAAAAATATTTCAGTGGACGAAGACTTTTGTGAGATAAAATGTTGGTAATTTTTTAAATATTAATTTCTTAAAAATAAAGTTTCGCTATATTTTAAAAATATTTCATGTCATTTTATTATGACTAGATTATAGATCTTGGTTAATCTTTGGAGTTTGGTAACTTTGCGATTTTTTGGCGAAAATTTGGCAACCAACCCTGCTACAGCAACCTGCTAGCTTTTTTTTGGATGCCATTTTGTTTTCACGAAGTAAAGGCATTTTTTTTTTCTTTTTTTTAACTCAACATTTTTTTCCAACAATCTGCTAGCCAAATTATGCTTATACTAGAACTTTTATGGAACGAAAGTGCTTAATCATGACGAAGATTAGGTGCGAAATTGGGAGAAAGTGCAGAATCGCATACTGCTTGCCGCGTTTTTTTAGAATTGCACATACACGGTATCCATGTACACGTCAACTTATTTTTACTTAAAAAAACATCCCAGAATTGCACAAAAATGGCGTTGTGCACACTCTTCACTTTATCCATGTACACTGCTAAAGTCCTAGCTAGTAACCTTTATCGCCTTACCAAAATATCCCCAAACTACCTGTTACCATATTCCAAAGATTAACTTAGATCTTATTATTAAAATCTCATTCAGAAAGTTTAATTTTAATCAATGGATAGAGCCCTATTTCAATGAAAATCAGAAGTGTACGAACACTTTTGGGAGCCATTGTATATACACATTAAATAAACCACTACACATTTGAAAAATATATTACAGTTCTTGTGTAGAGGCAATGCTTTTATGCCCTTTTCAGACAGTTTATATTAGGCTACCCAACAACTTTCAAGACTGCAATGTACTTTTTTTTTAACATGCAATATCAGGAATTACTAGTTCACAGAAAAAAAATATTAAACTGTTATCTGATTACTTCATAATCAGCAAGTTGGTCAGTATTGGTGCATATTTAAATGCTATTCCAAAATTAAATTTATGTTTAAGTTTTTAAGTATAATTTGTATTAAAAAAAATACATCTCTTTCCAAAGACGAATTACTTGTTTTAATTTGAAATTTAATACATAATTTCGTAACTTAAATTTATTCTGTGACAAAAGAAAGAATTTAAGAAGTTTACTGTGGTTTTGACTTTTACACACAGTATTGCTTGAGCAAATTTTTAAAAATTAAAATTAGAAAAATTAACTCTTGGTCAGTTATTCTATTTATTTAATATAAATTAAATCCTTAAATTGATTTCTCATTCCCCATTCCCAAACACTGGATTGTTATCAAACTTTAAAAAGCAATAATTACTTCAGCTTTATTTACAGCATGCAAGTTTGAAGAATTAACAGATTACAAAGGACTGAAGAAATATATGTAAATCCTGTTTGTTCTCGAACAAAAGGAACATATCATACACAAAAACGAATAAAATACTTAGGAAAATGAACATTTATAACCTGTTTTGAATGTATCCCGATACTTTTCATCGCTAATCCACGCACAAAACGACATCTTTACCTGTAATCATCAGTAAGTAATTTTCTGAAAAATACTAGCTGCTGGCATATATAAAATAGTATTAAAAAAAACTGCTCTATAAATACATAAAATTCAGGTCAATAAATATGTCAATGATGACAGCAATAAAATTTGGTGCAGAGGAGTTAAAAAAGTTACTTGAAATAATTCAAGTGGAACGAAACAAGTTCATACAATGAGAAAGCATTTAATAAGGCGACAAAGTGATAATTATATCTGGCATTACATAAGGATGTAATCGTCTGCACCAAATTTAAACGTAGATGACAGTCGCAAAACCGATGCCACATATAACGTGAGAAATAAGGGAAAGTTTATGACTGGGTAGCAAATTTCTAAAACCATCTGATGGGCTTTCCATTGAGATTGCACAGGTCAGCCGAGCATGACAAAGGCAGGGGTATACGGAGCAGTTGCCCGGGGCCCCCACATCACGAGGGCCCCAAAATCGAACAGAAAGTTTATTTTACGTTTCTTTCTTTAATGAACTTTTAAAACAAAATATCAGTACAGCCTAAAATCCGTCAGTTTTATGTTAGATGCTTCATTAATCTATCATATGAACACAAAAAGTCTATGTTACGTAAATCATGGCTTTCTAGGGCGGAATTCAGCTAGATTTTCGCAAATGCAATGGACAAATTTGGCGAATCAAAAGCCCTTATTTTTACATATCGCAAAATGCGGTATGTTTATAAAAATACGGGTTTCTGATTGACTTAATTGAGCCATCGTAATTGCAGAAATGTAGCTGAACTCAGCCCTCATGTCAGCAAGGATATGAATTTTTTGCAACAAGGTGACAAAGTTAACACTCAGAAAACTGTATTTCGGAAATTTATTATATATCTATAATGAGGTAAAAGATGTAAATACGTCCACGAATTTCGGTTCTTCATTACTCTAGAGGAGGGCCCTCCAAAGAAATTTTTGCCCCAAGCCTCAAGTGAACTAAGTCGGGCCCTGCAGATAAGCAGCATAACACGGTCTTTACTAACTTTATGTCCTGGAGCACCTCACTGCGTTTTAAATGCTGAAGTGCTTTTATGCAGAGCTTTCCGAACAAGACCGGGTTCTTTGGCGTTTGTACAAAAATTCGGTATCATAGGAATTCGCTACAATTTAAAATTTTTCAATAAAATCATCTGCAGCCTTGGAGTTTGCTGATAACTTCTTGTCACTTAAATCTAATTCCCGGACACCGTGCCTGCACTTAAAATTTCTTAGCCAGCCGTTACTTGCTTTAAATTATGAACAACCAAGCTTCTTTGCTAAGACCTTAGCGTTTTCACAAAGAATCGGACCCGAAATTGGGTTTCGCATAGAAAGTTGCTACAAAACGACCACTTGAAAACGTCGTCTTTTAAATTTTTGTTTGTTGCTACATTCATTGATTTTCTTCAAGAACTTCATCTTCGTTTTCAAGCAGTGACACGAGTTTTAAAGGTGTAGGACTGCCCCTTTTAATACCTGATATCATTGATTGTCCAGCACTGAACATCTCAGCTAACTATTTATGTCGTAACTCCTTTATCTGATTGCTCTATAATTTTTAATTTATCCCCTATCGATAACACAACACGTTTTCTTTCAGAAACCGTGGTGAACAACGAAACGTATTCACAAACAAAACAACACACGGACGCAAAAGAGTACTATCACAGCACTGTACAGGTCATCGACACAATGACTGACTAGCACACATTCCACCCGCTGTTCTATATTAGCCGGTATCCCCCAGGGGTCTTTTTTGGGACTCACACGTATCAATTTTTATATGAATGACGTTCCCACCACACTCAACACCCCATTGGCAATGTATGCAGACGACACAGCGATCCTGACACAAAGCACATTTCTTAGGCCAGTCATTCAATGCTCAAAAGAGCACATCCAAACACTTGAGACTTGGCTGGAAAACTGGAAAGTTCTGGCAAACGTGGACAAGACCAATGCCATCCTGTTCACCAAAAAGAAAAAGATAAAAAAGAATCTCACATTTTATTGAACAATTTACTCCTGTACAAAGTAAGTCCCTTATCTTGGGGGTGATCGTCAGTTATTCTCTCACAAAATCCCCACATATTACATCTATTATTCACAAATTTTGAGAATCAACTCATCGTCGACTCGATCTGATAAATTTTCCTTCTTTCCATAACGGCTGAGCAGGAGCCCCTTTGTACGAACGCAGCTATTTTTTGAGCCCACGGGAAAAGGAAGAAACGTCACAAAGCTGTCTGCAAACACAAACTTGGAGATCAAATGCCAATCCAACCTAGACTTGAACTTAAACTTCTTCCCAAATTCTTGGATCCTTATGAGACAACGAAAGTTCACGCAGCTGATCGTTACGAAATACGAAAGATAAGGCGCCATGAAGGCCCCACCATAACGTCAACTTCTGCTGATAAGATGAAACCGTGGTGCGTAAACTGAAGATCCGCCATCAAGGGCATTGATTTTGCTTCAATTTTTTTTTTTTCTTTTCAGGTTCTTTCCAGACGAGGTCGCCTGGCAATGCAGGATGGCCGTGTGGTCATCTGCTCCTTTTCTACGATTTCTCCTGACATCCTACATCTGGCAGCCTCTACAACAGTTAGATGATTCTTCAGGCTGAGTGAGGAAACTTAGACACAGACAGTCAACGGCGTAGCTCGAGGGAGCATCGACGATTCGGAGGCGAAGGACTGTGACTGTTTCATTGATGATGTGAATGCTACTCTGTTTTTATGATGCTACAGACTGAATCTTTCATCTTACTTCCTTTCATTCTGTATACAGTATTTCCATGTTAACTAAAGAAAGCCATAAAATGCTACTACCTTCCTCATCATTAATCCAAACCTTACCCTACATAAATTAGTCTCATTTTTTGCATAATAAAACTAGGCAACATCAAGAACAAACGAGTGCCGAACGATATACATTGGCAAGAATGGATTCTACGTGTGTGCTTAGTGCTACTTGTGCTTCATTTCTTTTTCAGCATGTTACGTTCTCCTTTTGGAATATACTCCTGCTATTATTGCCTATTGGGTAAGACTAGACATATTTATAACTTATGATTGCTTCTTTTGTAAGTGTTTACTCTATGGTTCATTTTAAATGTTTGTAAAGACTATCTACTTTGATTTGTATTCTATTTGTGTTCTACTTGAGTTAAGCAAGCTCTCTAACCTGTTAAATAAAGATTTCATAGTTATTCTAACTTACGATTCTTTTATGAAACTGTGCTAAATAGAGAGTAGTGTACTTAAACTCTTTAACTGTGTTCAATACACAAACTATCAAAAAATAAAAGGGCCGAATTTAAAAGCAAATGTAATGTTTCTTAAGTTTACTTTTCCTACTAACATAAATTTGGCAAATTTTTCAAACCTGATCAGTATTTCTTGCATGAGTTTTAAATAATATGTATTAAAGATCCTATAAACTTACGACGTTATGACGTCATTTCATGTATTCTTGGAATATATGATTTCTGTATGTGCATTAAAGATATAAATTTATGGCTTTATTTCATGAATGCTTTTAACACGATTTTTATGATACTCTCAGTTGAGTGTATTGTAAATATTTATTCATTTTAAGGCGCATTGATGCAACTGCATCAATGTTTAAATCAGCTAATTTTAATATTGTAAATTTTTCTCCGTAAGATTTTATGAAAAATAAACTTCCCAGTGTTAGTATTTTTCTTCAGTAAATATCTCTTTGAGTATCGTTCAAGTGTTTAGTCTAACTAATGATTATCAAAGGTACAACTCACCGTTTTAAAATGCATGCTGCATATATGTCTAAAGTGCTTTACTTTAAATTAAGAGAATGTAAATTATTTCATTCTTAGACTGGAAAGTAAAACTCATACCAATGATTTCTTAGGATCATTATTATAAATAATAAGCATAATTAGATAACTCACACTATCACATATTTGCTTCTGTTGCATTTAACATTATTTCCTTAAAGTATTTAGAAAGCATTATAAATGAGCATATTAGTTTCATAGTTCAGTTATTATTGTGAAAAATAAAGGAGAACGAAGTATAGTCATTCTAAACAAATTTTATTATTTACAGTAAAATCAAAACTTTCGTTTATCGCAAAAATAAATAAATGATTTCATTTTGTTAAGAGTTTGAAAATATGTAATAGCTGAGTCTTTGCCAATTCAATTTTCATAGCCCCAACCAAGACTACTGCCGACCTAGACAGTGAACAGCTCCTTAGCTCATTCCATAGAAGATCAACTAACTTACGTTTTTAGTGGATCAGAGCTTTGCCAATACCAGCTCCATATCCATATCCCATACCATAACCATAACCCAAAGCTGCTCCGTGTCCAATGACACCTCCATATGCAACAGGAGCAGCAGCAGCTACAACTGGAGCGGCAACAGCATGCCCATAGACTGCAGAGCCAACTGGGGCAATGTGATCAACAGATGGTCCAGCGTAAGGGCTAGCGATGAGGGCTGCAGCAGGGGTACTGGCAGCGGTTCCTGGTTCATTGGTCTTCACGGCGGCACGGAATCCGAGTTTATCAGCTACATAGTCTACTCGTCTGGCTCTGCCATCGATATCGTGGATGGTATAGGTTCCCTTTTTGTTGCCATAGCCATCACCAACTTCAGCTCTGGAGTTAGAGGCACCAAGTTTGTCAACAATATCGTAGCCGAAAGCGTAATTACCATGAGCCTGGAAAGAATGTAGAGAAATTAGATGAGTAAAAAAATTTAAAATTTTATGTTTTGAAAGGAGCAGTGCCTTAAAATAAATTGGACAATGCATTATTCGTAAAAAATTTTAAAATGAAAATATAAATGCGATGGGAAATTATGGCAATTAAAAACGATTGATAAGTGACTAGGACCTAGTCATCCTACATACAGCTTTAAATTATCGCAGTTATATCATTTAGAATGTATCTAGAAACTTTATTTTCAAACTTGCTGCTTCTTACTAGAACGTGTTTACGAAAAGCACAGCTAATGACTAGTGAAGTGGAAAATTCAACGAACGAAAAGAAGATGATTAGTTGATTAAACGAGCTCTGGAAATACAGCGTTAATGTATTGCTTTCTTTTAGTGATACAGTTTGTATCATTTTTAAAAGCCATATACGTTTTTAAAATATAGTGATTCTACGCCCTTTTTAAGGATATACGGTTATTTTATAGAAGATATCATAGCTTCAGGCTTCTTTGAACAATTTACTAGCAACATTCAACTAGTTTCAAATTGCCATTAATTACAGAAGACTAAAAGCATTATTTTATTTGCTAATAAAGTTTCCTAGTTTCAAAGTATATTCAAAAGTTAAAAGGCATGTATAACGAACGGTCTATCAAATCACTTCGGAAGAAAAATTATGACCTCATGACTTTTCTTAGAGTAGTTGTTATAGATTGTTTAGTGTCAGGAGTCACAGATTCTTCATTCATTCAATAAACTGATTCTATGGGACATGAAATTGCTACTATTAAAATCTTTGATCATTGGTATGACACAGACAGTGGTTCTTATATGTCATACATACTATGTACTATGTAAAGTTTTTGAAAATTATTATTTTAGTTATCCTTATTTAATCATTGTTATTATCGTTCATTGGACTAAAAGATTGTCAATAGTAAGTAACGATTATAAGTTAAGATAAGTCAATAACGATTATAAGTTAAGAAAGTCAAGATTCCTAGTGATATAAAAATGTGATCAAGATTAGTTAAGTTAATTATCGTCTAAAGTTAAAAAAGTTAAAAAATTATCGTCTACTTAAAAATACATAATTTTATTATGTTTGAATCTCGGATGCATAGGTAATTTTGGATAAAATGTTCCCAGTAAATAAATTCTGGTAGGTAATTTTTGGTACGAAATATCTGTATATAATTCCCTTAAAATAAATTTTATGGTCATGTAATACGTACAAGTGAAGCAAAGTCGAATTAAGTTATATTACTGCAAGACATTGCTATCATTGAATGATGTTTAAGTGTGTTATAATATTCATTTTAGCCTCTTTTCTCTCTTTTTATCCTCGTAAGTTTGACAGTATATGATTTTAATGTTTTATATTAATTCTGGCGTTGCAATACGTCAATAAAAATTACTTTACCTTGCACAATATCGTTAAAGAGTTTTCAAATGTGAACAGATACTTGTACAGATAAATACATTGTTTATAAATTATTATCCACCAACATTCGCTTTAACGTCAAAACTATTATGGGCCATTCAATTCATTCAGTTCCGCTGAAGCTGAAGCCTTTTATATTTAGAAATATAGGAAATAGGCTTTTTTTTTAGTTAAATTTTTAAACGTTTAATTTCATTCACCATCTCAAGAAACCAATTGCTCCATCGTCAGTAAAGTTTTTTCTATTAATGAGCATCGTCTTAGATTTTGCCTGGTTAAATTTCAGCTTAAAACTTACCAACCACTCACAACTGAAATTTAAAACATTCTAAGCAAGATAAAAAGCATCGCGCAATTTCTTTCCCTGAATACAGGACGACAAATCATCAGCAAAAGCAATTCTTCACAAATGATGAAATCAGTAAGTTTCTGCAAGAGATCGTTGATAATGACAGTCCAATGGTTGGGATGGGAAACAGGAGCTTGCGGACATTCCTTTTGAACTCGTAACACGCAAACTTGAAAGCATTTTTTGTTCTAAGAAACGTGTGCATTTGGATATAATTCTTTAAATTTCAATAAGAAAATTTGGTGTATTGCTCTAAAGTAATTTGTTTTGATTTCACATCGAGTTTTCGTACATTTTCTATGTTAAGTATATGCATAAAACTATAAACCTTTATTTTCTTTTTTTAGTATATAACCTGTAATATTTTTACAATTTACCCAAATTTATGTTTGTATCCGGCACATAAAAATGCTTATTGTTTAAAATAATTAGTTGGTTTCGTTAGTATCAATTAGAAGTAATATAAAATAATTTTCTTTAAATAAAATAATTTCTTCAGGATTTTTTTATACTTACATCTTGAGTCTTTGAGCTAGTACTCATGCCGGTGCTGACTAGGGGAGCCTTAAGAATAACGCTTGCGTGAGCAGCTGCAAGAGCAGCGCACAGGAATGCAACCTGCGTGAAATTATTGCAGTTATGAAAAGTACAAGCATTTTACCAACGTAAGTAACAACAAAGAGATAAAGTTTCATTGAATTCTCTCTTTATAATATTGTATTGCTAATCCCTTACCTTCTCAGCAACAGCTTCTTTAAACAAGCCAGTTAATTCAATACAGTCCTGAATTAAGCAAATTATCATTTTTATCGCATTAAAATATTAAAATTGCTATGACTTTTTAAGAGACTTTTTATGATTTTTAAGATTTTTTAATTTTATCACATTATAATATTAAAATTGCTATGAATTTTAAAGAAAAAAAAGTATTTATGTATAAAATTAATGACTTCATGCAACTAAAATATGTACCTATCTTTGATCACATCAAAGCAAAAAATTATCTTAACAAGATATTTTACAATTAAACAATTAAAGTTGAAGTAGTATAGATCAATAAAAAATTCTTTCTTGGGTATCAGCTCTTGCGCTATAAGCTATGCCACTAAATGATTTCTGTTTGCTCAATTTCAATTTTTGGAATTAATATAACTGGACAATATTAAAAGGAGAAAGATGAAATTCATTCACACACGACTACAGCATGAAAGTAATGGAAAAGGATTATACTTTTTCCCTCAACGATAAATCTTGAATATGTCCTAGGAGACTTTCTTCATAATGTTGAGATTTTATAAAATAATACAATTCTAATAACCAAATAAAATTATTTTATTTAAACAATTTTAGTATTTTAAATAGACTTTGATTTCATTGATTGATTAGTTAAAACAATGTATAGAGATGCTGCTTAATATTATAAAATTATCAATTTTCTTAGGAAAGACTTTGTGCAGGAAAATAATTGACTTCGTCTCCAAAGCATTTTTTACCATCTAATTAGTTGCAAATATGTGGTAAATAATACTGCTAAAATAGCCAATAAGATTTGCATACTTTTGTTATTTTAATAAAATTAAAATAAAATAATTTCAGTGATTATTCATGATTTCAAAAAGGGTATACACCATTTATCATTTCTACTCAAAATAGTCAAATTTCATTTTTCTGCTTTCCAGTCTGAAATTCTTTTCATATTTAAACATATTTTTAAATACTATGTTCTAAAGAGGCATGAAAAACGAAAAGGCTTCGCAGTATATATGCAAAAGGTTTTTGAGAATTTTCACGCTGTTTATAATTGCTATAAACAGAAGTGTAAAACATTTCTTACCTTAGAGATCATCGTGCTTCGTTATTTGCGATTGTGACTTGACTTCACAGAATGCTGTGTCTCAGTTTTTTGTAGCATTTATATACTGTTAGGCTGATAACTAGAAATATGAGTGCATATCGGATTTCCCGAAAGGAACAAGAGAAAGTAAACTACATTTCAAGTACTATTGATTAACGACATTGACATATTTTTTGTACAGCAGTGCCACACAAATGTCCTTGCAAGTAGTTATCATGTCCAGAGATCGGTAGCTTTGATTTGCTCGTATTTTCTGAAATCAAGGATCTCTTCTAATTATAGGTCATCATATTTCCTTACACGATTGCAAACCATTTTTTGTAACATATTTTTATTTGTAAATCACAACATTTATGTTTTATTAAAATATCTCATCCTAGATAACTTTTTACCCTTTTACTTTTCTTTATACTTTTAAAATTTAAAGAATTCTTTCAATTGATTAAACATGCATATGTGTTTAACTATGTCGAACTATAACTCTGTAATACATAGATTTTTAGTTACCTGATTAATTAGCTATCACAACTCTTAAAATTTGCTGGAACAGATACTGGCGAAAGTTGCGCGAAAAGTTTGCAAGTAAGATGCAGTTTTATTAAACAAAAATTTCCGATTATTATTTCTCTAACATTTTGTAAACTAGTTTTGTGATTTTTAAAGCTTTCCATAATCACTATTAGTGATCCCATTCTTGATTTCAGTTTCGTGCTGGACGGCCTGTTTTGTGAGGATATTATTCCTTGTTATTATACTTTAACGCAAAAAAATTATGTTTTAAATTAAAGGTAAGTTATAAATTAACAGTCATTAAAAATGCTTAAAGAAAAAGTGACAATCATAATGCAAGAATACAGAGATTTTTGCGATAAGAATTTTTAAATTTCTTAAAATAATAAGTCTAGGGTATTACATTTCTTTAAATTAAAAATTGCAACTTAATGTATATATAAATAAAATATTTAAGATTTCAAAACTAATATATGTTTACAGATTTATTCTTCAAGACCTAAAAACTGAATTTAAAAAAAATTCTGTGATTTCTTTTTCTTTATTGAATGATTTTTAATTAAGGATAAAATATCAGGACTCGTTGTAAAAGAATCTTTGAAAAATATTTTTCTTTTCAGATCAGAGAGATCAAGGTAATCTATACCCTTTGTCCCCGTCTAGTCCATGGCTTTCAAATTGTACAATTACCTGTTTTTACCTTTCAAGAATAAGCTCCTTCAAAAACTATTTTAAACATTTTCATTTACTAATACATTTTCTCAGATTTTTTAAAGTTAATGCAGAGGTTATCAAACTTTTGGATGAAATTATTAGTTATTAGGTTTTTAAGGAATAAATTATAAATTTTGTGAGGTACCCTAAAGTACCTCAAAAACTGAATGTAAAATAACAAATTTTAAGCCTCTTTTGACTGATAAATTTGAATAGATTTCTAGTGGGAAGCCATCAAGCCTTTCCATGATCACACATTTTGAAAAATTGAACGGGTCCTCACGTATAATCAAGTCCACTTCCTTATATTTGCTAGATGGATGTTTTGACTACTACAAGACCATATGGCAGGAATATATTCCTAAAATTCTCCCCATTTTCGCTCCTCTCCCAAGGACAATGCAGCAGAATATTTTTTTTTCAATGGCAGGCTCTAGCAGTTTGTAGACTTTGGATACTACTAAGGCCGAAAGCGGTGGTCTTTATGTTATGGAGGCCTCTAATAGGTGGACCACAGTTACCTCCTACAGAATGGGCCAAATAAGGATAAACATGGATAACTCTAAAAATAATCCTTTATTTTGATTAATTTTTTTACACATTAAATATATTTTATGGAAATTATGTATGAAATAAGACATTAGATTAATGTCCGCCATTTTTTCTCGATACTGAGATTGGCTCTTTTTAACGCGTTTTCCGTTACACCACGTATAATGTTTCTGGTTGAAGGATCAGTATTTCGTCTCGAATATTCTGTTCCAGCTGTTTAAAAAGGTCTGGTCGCTGGTTTATTAACATACACTTTATCTTTTAAATATCCCCATAAAAAACAAAGATTCTGCTGCGCCATTGGCCGCAAAAAATTTCAATCATTATTCTGTAAGAAGCTGCGGAAATCCTTTCCGGCGTTCCATCCTCATTCTTGAAGAAATATGGGCCGACAACTCTATTGGCCATAACACCGCACCAAACAGTACAGTTGAATTAAAATATTGCCGATATTTAAGCTGCGTCATAATTGACCGTTGATAAGAATAGAAAAACTCGATAATTTTAACGCGTTGTTTTGTATTGTATGCTGCCACAATAAATTTCCAAGAATTCAATTATAAACTACAATATATATATATATATATATATATATATATATTATATTATCTCAAAAAATAAAAAAAAGTTATTTGTGTTTAACATTGGTAAATCTTATTTGGCCCACCCGTATGAAAGAACGAAGAAATTCATCCATGCCTTCTCCGAGATTCGAACCTGGGTTCTTCGTTACGGCAGTCAGAGTCATTAACCAATTTCCCGTCTGGGCGGGGCAATTCAACAAAAGAGGCAAGATCCATTTGGCCAAATCAATGTGATAATAAATTATCGTCCACTATACATTACCTCGGATTCTGCTATAGAGTTTTTCTGAAACGTAGTCTTGAAAACTATGCCCTAGCTGAGAATCGAATCCAAAATTTTCCACTTATTACCAGATTTGATAATCACTATACTAAATGGGCTCATCGTAGGAGTGCCTTTAATCCATACTGTGTTACATGGTATGCCTACTTTTAAATATAATTCCAAATATTCTGTTCTGTTAATATTTCATTAATAAGTCAAACATGAGAAACATTCGACAATTTTTTCCTCTATAAAATATTTAGAGAATTTTTCATTAATAATCAAGCAAAATGTTTAGTTAGAATCTAGCTGTAAACTTGAAAGGGAATTTAATAGAGGGAAATTCTCCATGAAAATTCTATGACTCATTTTATGTTAAACGCTAACTAAAATTTTCCGCGACCAATAGTAAAGAATTATTGCATTCATCTGTGCTTGTTCTCCGGTTGTAAGTGGTTAAGATGCCCATCTAGCAACTTGAACATCCAATGATTTTAAATTTGGTGTAATCATAGTTGATTTTTCTCGTTTTTTTTTTTTTTTTTTTTTTTTTTTTTTTTTTAAATAAAACTTAATATTCTCTGTAGTAACAACAGAACTGTTTGAAATATTTCTTTGTCACCTGGAGATTGTTGACTAGGTCTGGTTCCTTTCTTAAATTAACTTTCGAGTGGGAAAAAATATAAACAGTTATTGCATTCTCTCGTGATCAGGAGTATAAGAAAACTGAACATTCGTATGATGAAATCAGAAAAGACTAGGAAAAATGGACAAATGTATGCGAACACTAAACATTGCATCGGGGATTTTAAACATATGCTGCTTTTAAAATTTTTGAAATTTTGCTATTGAATTGCATATGACGTAAGTGCAAAGAAAATAATGCTTTATAATGAAGCTAAAATGGCAAAAAGAAATGGGTTAGCAGGAGTGAAAGCAATAGCAGATTGGTAGACTGCGAGCTCAGTGAGAGCGTTTACGTTAAAACCTTAAGAAACCCTTTTTGGGAAATGTTAAAATCTGAAACCTTTCAGATTTTTTTAGTATGACAAACTTGATTATAATCAAGCAATAAAACTGCATATGGATATTCTTAATATGCTTTTAGCATTTGAGCACTTATATTTTATATTGTAAAAATGCTTTTGGCGAACGAATGTAACAAAACTAAAAATTAAGCGATAAACACGCTAATAAAATCGTTACACGCTAATAAAATCGCAAAGGAATATCACTGGTTGACATTAAATGGTGTTAAAAAATTTCAATCTCGAACTATCCTAATTTATGTTTTAACAGACTCCTTAAGAAAAGTGTTAAGTGCTAGTTTTGGGCACATAGAAATCTAAAAAGATATCCCAAATTTTAAATTAAAATCTCGATCAATTTTCATTGCACAGGAGTGAAATATTTTGCGTTTTACTTCTCAGAAACACTTATTAATTATATAATAAAATGAGGAAAGAGTAAAAAAGTTTAGATTTCGTAATTTTTATAAAGTGCTTAACATGAAAATTAATGTCATTTTCAGCAGTTTTGTTATCTGAATTACGTATCTAAACCAATGCGGTAGAGTGAAATAGCACATCGATCAGGTGATTAAGGTCTTGAGCTCGAATGCAGTCAAAGGTACGCTTAATTTTTAGACGATTCTCCATTCCCAAATATTTGTCATTTTTAATATCTGGCTCTCGAGCAAAATTGATGGACTGGATATGGTGGTTTCGGTATGGTTCATTTTCTTTCAGATTACGCTTAGCTGACGATACGGAAAAGTAACAGATAAAGCTATCTATTTCAGTTGACCTGGCTAGATATCTTTCTAAACAGATGATGAAGTCGAAAAACAGATATCTTGCCTCTGCTAAATATTTCCTAAAAATGACAATAAACAACAAATTATACTGTGTTTTTAAATTATCACTGAAAAGCTTAAAATTTGAATAAAAATTAAAAATGTTTGCCTGAAAAAGCTAAAATTAGCAAAGTTTGCACGTTTCCAAGCACCTAGTTTGATTCTAAGGTCAATGTTTCCTCAAAACAGAAAATTTTAACAAATGCTTATTTCTTTGATCTCATGCTTTCCCCTTTTCTTGCTTCTGATATTTCTTAATACGAGACTCTGCAATTCAGTATGTATTTGAGCTTGTGTGCAAGAAAAGTGCATGTAAAGAACATTTCCTTTAGAAAAAAGCACTCTTTTCAGATTGTGTCTTGAAACGCAGATTAATGAGGTTTTAATATTAAAGCTTGTTGAGTGCTCATATAAAAACTCTTTTTATATCAACTGCCAAGCTTTCGAAGAGCTTTACTTTAATGAAACTATATATGAGAGGACTGTATTGAACACATTTTAAAAATACGCCATTAGAAAGTAAAACTCAAGGAGCTTTTAAAAGTTTTTATTTGGGTAA